TAGATAAAAGTACTATTAAACCAGGGGCGGATCTAGGAATTTTGAAAAGGGGGGGGGGCTGCAAAATGAAGGCATTGACCGCGGAGACGGGGCTTGCCGCTGAGGGGGGGGGGGGTCCCCAAGAAAATTATCCGTCATTTCCTTGCATCTGTAGCCATTCCAAGAGCTATTTCCCAGACTGGTGTGTTGAGTCGATGGTTCGAGTCATTTGGGATCCCTACAACGGGTTGGGAACTGACATATTTGAGTCTGAGAAAAGGCACTTGCATTCGCTTTTAAAGGAGCTAAATCGCTAATATTTGGGAACTAGAAATTGTCACAAATGGGTCGCACTAACCTTGATGTTCACAAATACGTAAGACGATATGAACATCCAGTAAAAAGATATGTAATGTGATTCAGCTGCAAGGTGATATATGCATATATGCAGCATAGATAATTAAAACTTCTATTCAAGTTGAACCAACTGTATCTATTTATGTCTTACGTCGAGCTGAATACATTTTATGATTTATTGTCATTAAAACATCTATTGGTGGTTAACAGTGTGTAACTAAAAACTAAAATTGGATCTTATTATTGCCAATGATATAATGTACCTTGAATTTTTTATCACGAAGTCTATCGCATCCAGATATTTAAAGCGCGTTTACAATATATTCATTTTTTTGTATCGTAAAATTCATCTTCATTTGACGAACTACACCCAAACTACAGTCAGTGTAAACACGGTTTGGAGACTGTATCTGAACTACAGGGTACGTCGAACTACAGTGTACATCATGCTTAAGAGACACTATCTAATATCCAACAGGAAAAATGACGATTAATTTAATATCCGCCAATTGGTGTTGCTGCTATTTTGTATTTTCAAAATTTATCTTCAAATTCTAAGACATCGAAAACCATATAAAGGACATTGCAAAAGTCATATCTTACGTATCTTAAGAGATGCCCTTTTAGTCTACCAAATTTATGTTTTTTTTGTTAAATTGTCTTATACATGTATTACCAAATTCGGTAGCCCTTTTAAAAGAAATGCCCGGCACCACATGGAAAATACATTTCTTTAATTGATGTTTGTCAAATTCGATTTCCGCACATTTCGCGTACATAACCACGATATAATGGTCGAACATTACGTACATCAGATAAACTATTTTTAAAGCCCAAAACTATTCAACTAGTCTCTTTTAGTTATCAAGCACCTGTTTTATGGGATAATCTACCATTTAGTTTAAGATGTTGTACATCTCTATATTTTTTAAAAAACAACTTAAATCACATTTATTTAATGAGGCTTTTAACTGACTCTGTATATAATTGTTAACATGTCCATAATCTTGTTGTTTATTTATGATTACATTGTCACTTTGTAAAGTGCCCCTGAACATGTTTTATGAAAGGGCGCGCTATAAATATGCTGTAATAATAATAATAATAATATTACCAAATTTGGCGGCCATTATGAAAGAAACGCCCGGCACCATATAACAAATACTTCTTTTTTTTAATTTGACGTTTGTCAAATTCGATTTTTCGGCACATTTCGCTTGCATAACCACTCTGTGTTTGAGGAATTTAAAAAGAAATCATTTATAATCCAACGAGTAAATAGTAAAACACACTGATTACGAGATATCGCTCTCAGAAAATTCCCCGATTTTGGGTATGATTTTGTTTGATATATTTATCACTGAACCAAACTCCATTGATTTCTTTTGCATTTTTATTTAGGGTAAAACGTTATATTATCCCTCAACGCCTAATACTGCAAGAAAAAAACAAATTTTGGTATGTAAACCTGTATGAAGCCATGACGTCATAGTTTTTATGGCGTCATAATTGGGATCCAAAATGGCGCCTGGAAATGAGTTGTCGTAACTTCCCCACAGTCTACTCACTCATGTGCTCATCGTTGTATACCAACTATCGTTGAAAAAATCAATTTACGTCGATTTTTGAACATTTTAAAAGCCGTAGTTATAAATATACACCAAAAACATGGCAATCAATCAAGTTGAAGCGTTTTGGCGTAAAACATCTGTTTAGGCGAGATGACGTGTTTTTGGTGTACATGAGTAAGCAATAATGCTACCTGACTAAAATACCCCCCCCCCCCCTCTTGCATTCGCATGTAGTCATACATATGAGTCTCAAAATAATATAATATATTGTTAAATTATGCTCTTTTCAACTCCCCCGCCCCCGCCGCCGCCCCCTGCTCAATGAGTTATTTTACTTTTATTCTGCCATCTAAATAACTCTATACCCATGACTGGTGTACCAAGTTAAATCCACATCAAAACCCCATTTGTCGATAAGTGTATTTATAATAATCACTTGAACATCCTTGGAGAATTATATCTATTTAGTGAATATTAATACCAAAGAAAGAAAACAACTCTAAATTCTGAATATAAAGTCATCAAATTCTTTTACAGATCTTATTGTGGAAACCCAAAAGTTATATGTCACCATTGCCTTTTTAATCACATTTTTTTTTTAATGTCAAATACCAAACCATCTCTAATATTGTTTCATTATATAGAATGCAGTGTAATCCTAAACACTAAAGATTTGGTCTGAAAATTTGAAATAATATAGAGGGATCATCAATAATTAATAGTAACATTCGATAATTATAAAAATGTATTATTGTAGGATGAAATCAACCTTTATTTTTAAACATTTAGTGAACATTTCGAATGTTAATGCCTCTTTTATATAAAATGGTTTTATTAATTAATCAATTTTTGTTTTACAAATTTTTAATTTTCTCCATTTTGTTTGATTTTTATGCTATATTTATTTTATCTATCTATAATTATTTGCCTGTGCTTTATCTATTAGTTCCCATTTCTATACTGTAGAAAATTTTGAATTCCTAATCTGTTAAAGGGACTATTTTTTCTTAAACGTATTTCAATTTAGTGCATTATTAATGTCTTTAGTGCTTGGTTTGGTTGATATTAAATTTAGATATATTTAAAATGTATGTTTTGGGACCATGGGGTAGGGATATTGTGAACATATATATTATATTCTCAGTTCTTTTTAAGGTTAATTGTAAAAAAAAATTAAATAGCTTTTTTTGAGGGGTGGGGGGATATTGTTATTATTGAACACAATTTTATTAGTATTGAAATTAACTTTTTTGATTAATATTCCAAATGTCTCGGTGCTTTATTTTTCAATTTAAATAGCTACTTTTTATTTAATAATTGGGAATGGGGGGTGGGTATTTTTTCATTGTATAACACAATTTTATTAGAATTGGAATTAACTTTGTTTATTAACCTTCGAGATCAATAATTACAGTTTAAACAGAACGAATGGAAGGGGTTGCATTCGAAAGGTTGTTATACTGGATATAAATTGGTAAAATACAACACAAGTTTTTGTTATACACAAGTTTGTACGAAACAACACGAGTTTCAGAAATTTCAACACAAGTTTCAGAAATTTCAACACAAGTTTCAGAAATTTCAACACAAGTTTCAGAAATTTCAACACAAACAAGTTTCAGAAATTTCAACACAAATAATGTGTAGATTTTCACATAAGTTTTGTGTTGTTTCAACATTTAACACAAGTTTTGTGTTGTTTCAACATTTAACACAAGTTTTGTGTTGTTTCAACTTTGTGTTGTTTCAACATTTAACACAAGTTTTGTGTTGTTTCAACATTTAACACAAGTTTTGTGTTGTTTCAACATTTAACACAAGATTGTGTTGTTAAATAGAGACATCTAACTTGTGTTGAAAATAACACAAGTTTGTGTTGTTTCAACACAAGTTTTTTTTTCAGTGTATAAATTATAATATACATTTGAACGTTTTGGCGTGATAATTGAAATACGTTATCCAAATCCAAAATAATAATAACATTTATTTTATGATCTTTGCACCACATGATGTTAGTTATAGGGATTTATAACATGCTTTGTACACTGTTTTCCTGTTGAATTAATTGTTGTTTATACATATGTAACGTCTGGAGTCAGAGATATCTGTTATTTACAGAGCATGGAAATTTTGGTTCCTTGGACATTACGATTTGTTCTATTGAAATCCCAGAAAGATCATAATGAGATCTACTTGACTAGTTTAGTAGAATGCCTATCATAATTAACGCTGAATTGATGACCAAGACCCCCCCCCCCCCCACACAGGATTCGAAAGCAAGACAGTAGCATCATTATAATTCAGATGACAATATGGAAAATATGTAACCCGCAGGAAAAGTAATTGCATTATTTCGTTAAGTAGATCGGAATAAAGTACACGATTCCAGAACAAAAACAATGTCAACAAAATTCCCATTTTATCACAAAAGCAAGGCATTTTATTTACAAACGCAGTGTTATGCACTAAGTTGAAGGAAAAGTAATACAACCTGATATTTGCATGGAATTTTAAATTTATAAACAATTTAAGCAAAAACCTCATCTCATATTGACAATTCATTGAGTTCTGTTTAGTGATATATCTGTTGCAGGGCCGTACCGAGAAATGCCCCCCCCCCCCCCCAAAAAAAAAAATAAAAAAAAAATTGACAGCATTACAATTATAAAATAACACACTTGAATATGATCACACAGTCATGCTCTTAAGGCGCTGATTATTCGGTCGGTTTTAAGGGCGCCTACACGCCAATGAGTACCTGGTTCGTTTGCCCTGATCCAAACTTTCTTATATCACTTATGTGCGGATCCAAGGGAGGGCGGGGCACCAGGAGCAAATGCCCCTCCTAAAAAATCTGCCGCCCCTGAAATATGGCCCCCCTGTAAAGAATCGAGTAAATAAAATACAAAATCAACTATTAGATATCACCAGAGTGGCCGAAAAACGGGATCACTTGCTAGCGACTTTGAATGCGGCTCCAAGTGCGTGGAAAACGCGTCTGCGGCAGTCTAATTTTCAGAATTTTCGCCGGTCGCCGCTCCGCCAATCTGCTGCATCCCCACTTATAAATTCCTACATACAGTAACACAGTCCTCCGGTTTTTTAACGTTTTTATTATAAAGAACTGTTTGTATAAGTACTCAACACAAAAATAAATGGACGAATGTAAAGCAAAACATGAATTACAACAGTGAATATTAATACTTTTATAATATGGAAGACATTCGTTTCTAACTAATATTATAATACGTGTAGTGTACTGGCACATTATTATGCAAATTAGAGTTAGCTCTGTGATTTTAGTAAGACGAAAGTTTTCAACGATATTAGTCAGACCATTTATTGTTATCTTATCAGGATAATTGTTTAAAGATACAACACACCACGAAAACAGTCAATATAGTGTTAAAGATCACACACAATCAAAAAACATTGTTTTAAAAATTATTAAAATCGATCAATCCTAAAGTAAGTACATGTAATGGCTATTTGAAGTTTGCAGAACTGAGGTCGATTTCATGAAAGCATCTTTATGCATCTCTAAGGTTTAACCAACCCTTATTATATCCATCTTTTGTTATTCAGTACCCCCCCCCCCCCCCACCCCCATTAATTATGTCGTATTTATATTAGATTTTTTTCTCTTTTATGTGATGCTCGGTTGTTAGACCGCATGGTCTGCTAAATTACCACACATGTTTGTCGGTAGTCTAAATACCCAATTTTTGTTTATTGTCATGGGGCATGATGTCTCTTTAAAAAACGCAGAATTTAAGTATAAACAATATATACAAATATTATATACATGCAGACATTTCATTTTATAGTTGCACAAAACACGATCATATTGCAAAACAAAAAAATCAAATCAAATATATTAGCACAGGGATGATATGCAGATCTGAAAGGAGGTTGGCTGGCCATGGTTTAATCTGCAGAAAAAAAAAATTTCTTTAGAAAGTATCAACTAATATATGATAATACAGCAAGATTTAGCTCTTGCACAATGTATATTTAATAATAATAATATTATAATCTTATTGATGTGTTTCTCGTTTATGAATTTCTGTATTATATGACTGTGGATAATAAGGATGAGTTAGTTGCACCGCATTAGTATTACTAATACCATAGTCCAATAACCACTGACTTTATTAGTGAAGCAACCGCATAATCTATAGCCTATTTTCTTTTTTGTTGTAAATATAAGATTTAAGAAATCAGAAGCATTCTTTTGCCACAGCAATTTGTAATTACATCTCAAATGCCAACTTCTACCATAGCAATGGTACATATGCCATATTTTAGCAAAACAGTTGTAATTACAAACGTTATCTTCATATCACAACAATTGTAATTGTTATTACAAATGCTATCTCTTATCAAATCTTATCAATTTTAGCACAGCAGTTCTAACTACAAAAGTTATCTTTTATCACATCAGATCAAAAGATATATTTTATCACATCATATCAATTATAATTGCATGTCATCTTTTGAAAACTTTAACATGGTAGTTTGTGACTTACTGGGAATAGATTCATATGGGTTTGAATCTGTTGTTTCAGTATTAACTGAAGTAACATTTCCATTAGGTTTAGCACCAGCAAAAAATAAGTTTTTATCATCCACCTTTGAGTTATAATCACCTATGGAAAGCAATGCAAGCTATATTTAATGCGTATGTTAAAGGACAATATCAACGTCCGCAAACTGTAGAAACCGATATTGTCCTTCAAGCGTAATTTTAAGGCCACCACACCATAATTATTATTAGTCACATTGTTTATCAAATTGCTATAAAATATTAGAAATTGAATATGTTAGTCACCAGTTTAATATCGTGCAAGAATAGTATCAACTATGCTGATATGCCTAACGCACACAGGTTTATTAAATCATTTGGATATAGAAATTGGGTGTAAAAAATTTGGGTATATATTTTTTAAATGTAAAAAAAAATGAACTTTATACCGAATGAAAATTAAGTTATATTCTGTGTGGGGAACTCAAGAAAGTAGTACGTGGTTATATAAAGAATAATACAGTATTGGATATGGTATGAATAGCCACTACTGTTATGTCCATAGTCAGATTAAATGAAGGCTTTAAATCCTCATCATAATGTAGAAGAAGACAATAATAGCCTGTACTTTCTTAAACTAAATATATTAAAACACGCCATTAAAATTATGAAAGACACAACATTAAAGAAAATGTAAAATTCATCTACTTCTGTGGCCTAAATTAAATGATCACATATCGATAAACATATTTTAATCATTAATTTAAATAAATAAAAAGTAAACAGAAAGCGACGTATGGGGAGCACTCTGACTTAAATAAATATGGTGGCCACGTTTTATGTAATATATGTGGCATGAAAAAAGAATTAATATTTGAATCAAAAACTAACATGGACATAAACAAAATTTTAGACAGAAACTACATACTGCCATTAGCCGTTGGTGGAGGTGTTGGCTTGTCATCATCGCTATCATCATCACTGATGTTTTTAGCGTTAGTATAGTAATCTTCGGCAGCACAACGATTCGCAGATGTTGATGCTGTTGCTGCAGTCTGACTATTAGCCCGTTCTATGTTGTTAAGTTTCGCTACGGGGTTAACAGCTGTTTGTGGAATCTGGGTTCTGGCAGGCGACAATACTGCCGATGGAGTAGTGTACATTGGATTATCAATCCCAGATGCAACTGCTACACCTTGAATAATAATGTTATTATGCAAATTACACATCCCATTATACTACCAATTTAGCAATATACGTAATGAAAATACCTTCAAATTAGGATTTTGCTTTACCATTTTATTTTAGCCCGAAGATCAAAGAGCAAACTATATTTACTATAATACTTCCACATTACCATTTTATTTCAGCTTACTAGATTGGAAGTTTAACTTTTTAAATAAAATATGTTTGCATTCATTATTAAACTTGACAACTGCCATGAGATATGCTAGATTTTTACAATGCTATCTTAATTTTACTTTTTTGTGGGCTGTATACGATTTGAACATGACAATATGAAAAGATTAATAAATTACGTGGTTCTGGTATAACATTCTGTCTGGTATTATAGATCGCCATCATAGTATCTCGTTTCATTCTCTTCATCCTTCTAAGAAATATGGCTACGATGATGATGATAACAAGAAGAAGAAGGGCAGCAATACCAACCACTATGCCTAACGTTGGACTAAACTCTGATGGCGTTACGCTTTCTTTATTTGTGTCATCTTTAACTTGAGGTTCGTCATTATTTGCTACCTGTTCATTATTAATACTTTTTTCTAGAAGTAAAATAACCAACATAGTTTATTATTGTGCGTCATTTAATTTGAAGTTCAGGCTTATTTATTTTTAAAATGATATGTTATTAAAATAAACCCACCAAGAATTGGGTCGTCCGAGCTGTCATACACTTTGAAAAGGGTCTGATTTTAATTGAAATGCTAACCAGCAGAGTTCAAACCGGGGGGAGGGGGGGGGGGGGTAACTCCTCAATACTACAGATATTACTCTAAAACATCGTAAAAGATGAATATGGTTATTTCTTTCAATAGGATAGACAGCCAATATAAATTTCAGAACGGCAGGTTGATAATATCAGCCTAAAGAGTTCTAACAACACGATGGACAACAAAGCTAGGCTATACCAATTTAAAAATGCTCAGAATCGAACATACTTAAAGTATTGATCTAATGAAACCATTACTCTCACCAAATTAGAATTAAAGCTATTGTGGACCAAAGTCTCAACCAATCAAATTGTTTATCTAGCAGAAAGTACTCATCATCGAATTAAGTCAAGATGTAAATACCAGGTAAACACCTACATAAAGTTTGAATATTTCTACCTCAATTACAAAGAGAGTATTTGCTTTCCAAAGAGTCGAGCAATCATCTTGAGGTCTTTACTCATAACTGAATCTGGTAATGCAAGCTTCACCACTCTAAGTCAATTAGAATGAAAGTTATGACGCTCGATAGTCTCGACAATCAAATTGTTTATAGCCCTGCTTAACCTGCGCATAAAATGCTGATTGGCTCTGTTTAACATGAACAGAAAATGATGATTATCAAACCTGATTAATGTTTAGATATAATGAATCTATTTACCAAGTTTCGTGACGCTTACTAAATTAGACAGACCCGTTTTAGATCAGATTAAAACATGTGCATCAAAAGATATTAACGAAGATTACAGAAGGAACTGGCTTTACCATACCCGTTTATATCCTCTGCATAGAGAATGCCGAATATCGCGAAATGTTCAATTCATGAAATTTCCGTAAATTCGGAACGGAAATGAATCATTTTTCGACTGATATCCTTTTTAGAAATTCAACTTTCACAATATTGTAGTTTGAAAGGAATCACAGACAAACTAAATAAGACCAGCGACAGTGATTGAACGGTCAGCATGATTGTTAATATGTTCAAAATCATGTGTCAATTACGTTTCGATTTATTTGTAATTTTATACTCTATTGAAATCTGACATGTTTTTCTTAAAGTTTACATAACTTGGTGGACTGCTTGAGTACTGAAATTGTTGGCATAGTGGGCTTCGTTATTTGGAACTTATGAGAAATATTGCAAGAAAATTTAATAAGAGTGATTTACTCACTGAAGTTTTGTGTGATAGCATGAATATAGATAAGAAAAAAAAGATGGATTGTAAGTCTAACTGATTAAATACAGCATATCCTCACCACCAAAACAGCATCATCGGGACTATCAGATTAGTTGAATGACTTTGACCTCTATTATCCGGTAGTTCCCTGCTTATAATATCATGGTATCTTTTATGGATGACACCATGTTTTTGTTTTACATTGTTTTGACAGTACAGTAGAACTTGTATTAAGCAAGCACCCAAGGGAAATTTAAAAATGCTTGCTTAATGGAGGTGCTCTTTGACTAGAGGTATCCAATATTGCCCCAACCCCTACCACAAAAAATACCTCATTCACAGTTTCAGAACTTTTGTGGTCCCGGAACTCGGAAGGCTATAACCCTCTTAATAACAATTGATTTTTAGGCTTTGCCAGCTAGTTTTGTTTATTAATTGTGACTACTTTTGATTTTTATTTTAGTTTGTTGATTTAGAAATACTTTTTCAGTCAGTAGCTACATTATTATCTTCAAAAAATCCACAACAATGTGTGTCAGGCAAATTATGTACTGATGTTCTTCAAACCGAATGTTCTGGTACATAATAAATACGAGACTTACCAAGACATCCGGATACATCATCACAGTACTGGCTAGCAGTACACTGACATCGTAATCTACAATTAGCCCCATAGTAACCACCATAACACCCTATAATATATAAATCGTACTTATATCAGTTTCTCACAGACTTGATAGAAATCTGATACTAATTTATATTTAAAAAAGCAAAACCATGATAGGATTTATTAATTTCGAACTCGGACTTATTTTCAGATGCCGACTATAATTGTTAAATTTTCATTCTATCAGTCATGCCCCGGAGAACGCTCGCTTTTTTTTCAGTATTTCTCCTGGCCAATCAATGTTTTATATTCGCAAGTACATTTTTCACTGTGTGACAGCAATATAAGGATTAGACATCGGAATTACTTTGAGATACCGTTGCTCAAAGTAGGGTATTCTTATAATCTGGAATGGTTGACTTTCTAGAAGGCGTGGGGTTAGTTTGTCTGCATGTATAAACATAACTTACTTCGTTCACATTCGACACCATTAAACCCAGCAGGACAATCACAGATACCATCAGTTGTTCGACATACACCATCATTCTGACATGAACAGTTCAAAGCACATTCATTGCCATATGTACCTTGAGCACATTCTGTAACCAAAGTATCATTCTGTACACATTATGAATGAAAAGCAAAAAGATTGGTCGTTTCTTAAACTATGACTTTACTGAAATCAGTAAGCAGCAACACTGTCTGGATTTTATAAAATAAACCAATAGCTGCATTATGTATCTTACAACAAAAGTCTCATCTATTAAACCAAATATGATCACAGTTTCTGCATGCCCGAAAAAACTAGACTCGAGTACTGTATATAAAGACCAATATTTAACATAAAAGACAACTACTGAAGGATACTTACGTATATCGCACAACTGTCCTCTATGACCTGGATAACAGAGACATTTACCAGTGACGTGATCACATGATCCTCTGTCGCATTTTTGACAAATTTGTTGACATCGGTCACCAAAGGTCCCTGGTGGACAGACTACAAAACGAGGATAAAACAAAAATTAGTTGTAAATTATGGAACGGCTGTAAATTTTAAAAGAGCACAACCAATACGTGTTTAATGATATGGAGAATTCCTTTAATATTAGACTCATTGTTTTCCAGAAAAATCCAAGAAATGGCCTACCTAGAGATAAAAATAAGGTACTGGCACATCAGTTCAGAAAGGTACAAGAAGGCATAAGCTTCGTGTGTCTTGTATTGATAACCCCATAACACATTTTACAGTAGATATCGCTTGTGTGATAACTTTCATATTGTACTGAGCGATATCTCCTAGGGGGTATCGATTTACATCTATACCAGAAAACTATATATTTATTTATTTGTGGGTGTAAGAAAAGGTTTGGTGATAAATAATATCCCCTTAAAGAAAAAAGAGGCTTTGTTGATATTTTTGATATATATAAAAAAGACTCGTAGTTGATTCTCTATGTAGAGTAACTTTGTACATAACATAGAGATAGAAAATAGGAAATGCGCAATGGTGAAGATAAAAAAAATATATGACAACTTATTACCTTCATCACATCTGATACCTCTATAACCAGGTGGGCATTTACACTGACCAGTAAAACCATTACATTCTGCTGATCCACCACAATTACATGTCTGTTCACATCGCTTACCATATTTACCCTTTGGGCATACTATATAAATAATAGTTCATAATAAAACACACAGATTAAAAATAGTTTATATAAAAAAACACATAGATAAAAAATATAGTATATAATAAACCACACGATATAAAACTAGTTTATAATAAACCACAAGGTATAAACTAGTTCATATTAAACCATACACATTAAAACCTAGTTTATAATAAACCACACGGTATAAAAATAGTTTATATGGTTAACCACACATAATAAAACATAGGTTATAATAAACCACAAGGTATACACATAGTTTATATGATAAACCACATCCAATCTGATTAAATTACAGATCTATATTTCGTTTCGTTTTTTTTATACTTTCGATTGCCTCTACCATGAAGATCTGACAAGTTGTAGTTGAAGGTCGGGTCAAGGGGCCATACGAGCGGCTTTTGACCTATGACGTCACATATTTGATTAACCAATCAACGTTGGTGTTTCTAGTGTGTTACCCACAGTTCCGTGCAACAGACCGTTTCATTGGTTAATCCATCACATCATCCAGAACGCGAGTTATATAACAGATCCTAGTGTAGTAAAGACAAGTAAATCATAATTTTGAACTATAAAAAACGAAACCAAATAGGATCTGTGTTTTAATCAGATTGAACCACATCGAATAAATTCAAAATAACTGAAAGGTATTGTCTTACATTCACTACAATTGTTGCCAGTCCACCCTGAAGCACAATCACAGACACCATCAGTAGATCGACAGGTTCCTTTGCCATTACACGCACAACTGGTATCGCAGTTAGGACCCCAAAATCCATCTTGACAACCACCATTGCATGTCTCGCCTATAGAAGTATGCATATAAGTGCATGAATAAGACAATTGTATAGCTTGGATCCCAGAAATCTCTTTGATTTAGATCAAAACAAAGTTATGCCTTGAGTTATACTGGTAATGGACGAAACCTCAATGATTAATGTTTTCGTTTTGACATGTAAAGTGGAAAGCACCTTGTTTACTCATTTTAATTCTACTTTTAGCTTCAATTGTCGATAGTTGAACACATAATTCGCTACATCACAACGTCGGATCTATCTGTTGACCAAAGCAACTCAACAAATTAAACTCAATTAAATTAATTCTTCCTCTTCATTTATCGGATTTCTTTCGGGTTATCTCTAATATCACCTCCTTAGAACATCAAAAATGATTCTAAGAAAGGGTTTGCTTATGAAAATGAAATGAAATGAAATGGGGTTTAACGTCCTACTGTTCTGCTCCGGACTGGGCTAATGAAGACGGGCATCACCATACAGTGTGCTATGGGGAAAATTTTGCCCGGACAGCGGCACTACGGCCTACTCTGTACATGGGACCTCGGTTTTTCGTCCCATCCGAAGGACTAGACAGCTGTCCTTATCAGGCCCTCTGTCCTGCATCACTGACAAGGGGGAACCACGCCGGAAAATCTGGATGAACTTTCTCGGCCAATGCAGGGATCGAAACCCGACCTCTTAAAGTATCCGGGCTGTGCAATGAATAGGTCTTAAAATCGTCCACTTTATGTAATGTAGATACAAATAGAGCTAAAATTACCTTCAAATCCATATTTACACGTACATTCACCTGTCACGTGATTACAACTTATCGTGTTAGCCATGTTGCAGTTACAAGTTTGACGACAGCCAAAGCCATACATGTTGTTCTAGAAAATATGTTAATACATTAGTGATATATATCACCCCCCCCCCACCCTAATTCCGTGAAAACACATCAGAACCAGTAAATGTTAGACTTAGAAATGTTTGCGCAGACTGAAGAATTCATTCCTGGTTAAACGGCATCAGTCAGTGAATATATTATCAGTTACCGACACGATTCAATTCTTTCACATACGTGAATTACTATTTTAAATAAATTAGAAATTTTTAACGAGTGAACTTGTTTTAAAAATGTTCCCGAATTATGTTTATATAGCATAAAATATGGCCCATGGCTCAAATGCTGTATGGGTGGGCTATCTATATCCTGTTACTACAATTCAGTAATCTATTAATACCGCTCCACTATCAAGACCACTTTATTTCAGTCCGGCAACTGGTCTTAATAATGGGACTTCACTGAACCAACGAATATATGTCAGAGTTATGAAACTCCTACCTAACTCCACTCAAAACCCATAAATTAGACAATTAAACAGCGAAACAGCAAAGAAATGGCCATCTTAAATATATTACTAGAGATAATCCACTGCGGCATCAAATTAGATTAAATACTTACATTACACTTTTGACCGCAAGTTTTTCCTTCATAACCTCGTGTACATATACAAGAACCGTCTGAAGGATGGCACTCAGCATTATTCTCACATGTACATAATCCTGTACAGTTAACGCCAAATTTATTTGGTGGACAGTGTTCATTACACAGCAAACCTTGCCAACCTATATTAAGAGGTTTGAAAGTAAGTAAAGTAATCATTTTTATAGCTTGTGTTGGTCAATCCTTAAATTCTATAAAGGATAACACCAAGAAAATAAAGGTTTTTATTAACTCGGTTTATATTCATATATTGATGATGGTGATGATGATGATATAAAATCCAGTGTCCTCCGCGCCTCAATGGACTTACCTGGCCGGCAAGTGCAAAATCCACTAATAACATCACAGTTGGCAAAATTCTTACACTGACATTGTTGTAAACATCCTAAACCAAACGATCCAGGTGGACATGTAATTTCACATCTAGATAAACGAAAGACATTTTGATTAATGAAATGAAAATCTTCGGATAGCCCAATTATCGATAAAAAAAAGACCAAAAACAATATCACCCGTGTTTATGGTTACTTAGTCCCTTAAAATATGGTCGATCCACCTGAAAATCTTTTTTTCTTGGGATTGGTGGGGTAAGTTTAAAATTGGTACCATCGTTATTGCCTATTTCCTAGTGTATCTAGTTTAATTACTAGATAAGGTTATGGAAAATAATGCCGATTCGAACTGTTGTAAATACTGAAATCTTATTGATGAAATTGATCTGCAGTAAACCAAGACCGATTTATATTGGAAATGGGGCAGACTAATAGTGGGATACGATATTATAAAAACCTATCCTTATCGACAACTACTGAACCGATCAGAATTCATTTAAAAAAAATAATTGGGTATACTCGGATATACTGTAGAAACAAAAAAAACCCAATAATTGAAGATAGTGTTTACTTTCAATATGCGTAAAGACAAATTCACTGGAGAACAAATACGAAGTATTACTTACTTAACTCCCTTTGTGCCCGGTGGACATTTACAGACCCCTGTCACGTGATCACATGTCGCACCAGTACAATCACAGATCTTTGAACATTTTGGACCATAATACGGTACGGGACATTCTTTGTCACATGATCTACCATTCCACCCGTCTTTACACAAACATTCGCCCGTTCCACCATGACATGAATCGGTGTTAGACCATATACAGTCACACAAATAGTTGCAGCCTGCACCATATCGTTCTCTTGAACAAACTAAAATTAATAATAAAGTGGAATGTGGTTTAATGTCTCGTCAACACAATATCTCAGCAAACTAAGGGTCATTTGTCTTTTTATTGGTACCTGAGCAATGGGTGGTAGAAGAATTTGTCAGGACAGCGGACATGCACACCAATGTGTACACAGTTGACCCCAGTTTTTGTTCTCTTCCGTAAAACACTTTCCTTATCCGTTTCACTGGCTAAGCCAGTCTACTCGACTAAAACCTAATAAGAATAGGTCCTCATTTTGCTTTGCTACTGACAAACGGTTCCATCTTTGAAAATTCTTGAAAAAAGTCTTTAACACTAATATTATGTTATAACCACAAAAACATAACTTGGAACAAAATTACTATTACTATCTCAATGTTATCAAGAAAATGATGATGAATATAATATACAGAAGGTTTATATTCAAACAAGAGTAAGAACTAATAAACCTTTGTATATTACATATTATTTATTATCATTGAGATAACCCTCAACGAAATGTTGCTTTAATGAAAACAGCAATTGTGTTCCATACTATGTTTTTGTGTTTATTACTTGCGTCAATTGCTAAATGTCGCTCAAAGAAGAAAAACTATAATGCCGTTTTTAATAAATAATTCATCTTTCAATATCTCTTAAAGTCATTAAATATCTCCAACTGGTACTTTATCACATGGTATATTAAACAGTTATGTGTCACATAACATTTGGAGGTAGTATGTATAACTTACTTCTAATTTGACATTTGTCACCATTATAACCGGTAGGACATAAACATTGACCATTTTCTGGTAAACAATTAGCATTACTACCACAATCACATTTACTTCTACAATTTTTACCATAATAACCTTGCATACACTGTATATCGCAGCTGGAATAAAACAATTTTACAATAATAACCCTGTACACATTGTATATCACAACTGGAATAAAACTATTTTACCATAATGACCCTGTACACATTGTATATCACTGGAATACAACATTTTTAACATAATAACAATGTACACATTGTATATCACAGCTGGAATAAACAATTTTTACCATGATAAACCTGTACACATTGTATATCACAACTGTAATAATAACCCTGTACACATTGTACATCATAAGTGGAATAAAACAATTGTATCCTAATAGACCTAATACTCATTTATTAATACACGGCCAGTATAGAATTATATAAGACTCAATATTATATTCACCTTGTTCCGTTATAACCTGCTGAACAATCGCAAGTTCCATTAAACCTATCACAGCTATCAATATTATTACTGCATGGGCATCTTACTTTACAATCTTGACCGTAATATCCTTTACCACATGGTACATTACATATCTTACCCTGCAATATACAAACAATTTAAATGGAATTAAATGAAATGAAGTGGGGTTTAACTTCAAACTGTTCTGCTCCACCCGGGCTCAAGCAGAGCACTATGAGGGACATTTTGCTAGAGCCTACGCTTTTTTTGAATTCCAACTGTCAAGATTTCTTTATTGGGCACACCCATGTGTACACAGGACCTCGGTTCTTCGTTCAAGCAGAACGACTAGGCGCTGTTCCTTGCTAGACCCCCCCCCCTCCCACATCACTGAGAAGGGGGGGGGGCAAACCGTGAAAACCTATGGAACTTTCTCTGACATCAACGGGGTCGAACCCGTTACTACCTGATTAGCCGAGCCAGCACTGTACTCACTGAGTCTGTATACATGAGTGTTACAAAAGTTAAGAAATTTGTTTTGCACTTTTATATTTAAAGTACCTAAGTCTCTAACTCAATATCATTCAAAGTTTTCGAATTAATGTCAATTCAAATCAACATTGACGTTGTGACCTTCTGATATCCAATATTTAAGAAAAACATTTTACCATTGGTATACAAATCGTGTACCAGAATGCGATTCAGTACCATTTGTAACAAGGGACTCGAAGAACAAGGCTAGACATATTCCACAAGTCATGTCATATCTGGAGAGCATGCCCAATAAATACTATCGGTGTAGACTGGAATAACCAGCATATTTCGCCGAACATAACCGATTTGAATTAGAGAAAAAACGGAAACGATTGAATGTAAATCAGTTTATATACATTCATATTATATCATTATATGCGTTGCGACCCATTTGTGTCAATTTCTAGGTCCCAAATATTAGCGATTTAGCTCCTTTAAACTGGGGGATTGGTAACTTTGTTATTTTATACCATTTTGCTTCGGTTTCTAAAATCAAGGTCTAAATCATGACTTCAGTCTGCTGTAAGTAATGAAGAATTTCACCCACTAGGCAGGATATACACTTTCTCATATAGCTTGCCGCCATGTACTCTGCAGCAGATGCAACAAAGGTTTAAAGAACACAACAAAAACAATCGAAACTGGCAAAGTCATTTACAGTGACAGACAGTGGTAGTATTGGATTTGAAAATAGAACCGGGTTCACGTCACCAGTTTTATTTTCTGCTTGCAAATACAAAAATTATTTTGCAAATTAACTTAGCAAAACGACAATCTGATCTGTAACATGATTTGAGCAATTGCATGCATCGCAGCATCGGTATCAGAACTAACTTGAATACATGGCTACGTGGGAATTTAAGTTACAGATGGACAGGTAGTATCAGATTTTCCCTTAAAGATTAAGAATACCCTGCAGTATGCACAATACTTGTTGAAATTCCCAACGATAATCAAATGTGTAAAAAAAAGTATTAGTAACGTATAAATTTAAAGAAAATTAGCGGAGGTATCCCCTTACAACTTTTTAATGTTAAAGTTAACACTTACAGTCCAGCCTTCAGTACAGTAACACTGTCCCGTAATACTATCACAAGACGCGCCATTTTGACATCTACAATCTTGGGAGCACCCACTGCCATGTGTATTTGGTGGACATGATTGTTCACATCTTTAAGAAAAACAAATTCATAGACGCCAAAAGAAATGTGATGTGTATCAGAAAGCAAACAATAATAACTTAAATGTATTTATTTTAGAGGGTCTTGTTTGTTTTAATATTTTTTCTTGGTCTATTGAATGTTGATTGAATACAGAGCAAATTTCTTTAATTAAAATTCACGCTATACATTTTCAGGCGACTAAAATGTTACACAGACTATACTTACAACGGTCCTGTATATCCTGAAGGACAATGGCACGCGCCGTTCACGTGATCACAGGTGGCACCATTGTGACATGCGCAATGATATTGACAGTTTCGGCCATATGTACCAGTCGGACATACTGTTTGGCATCTTTCACCGGTATAACCTAGAAATATAGAATATTGAATATAGTTGCAATACATTCATTGATACATAAAAGACTGAAATTAGAAGTAAGGAATTTATAGGTAACCTTCCCAAGTTCAGTACGGGTATTTCCAGGTTGCGTCGATGGCCCTACTGGAAAATCTAACCTCTATGCTTATAATTCAATCGAACCAAATGACCATTTAAACTAAAGCTTTGCTAGAAATTCGGAGTGTACGACCTACTTGGTACCCATTTTGGTATTTCATATTAGAGCACAGGAATTTCAGCAGAAGCCCGTGAGTCTGACTGGGCCTGTGAGCCCCCCACCCCCTTCGAGGTAAATGATGCTTTCTGGAGTAGGCTATATTCTGATGTTTCTAGCTTATGCGCACATATTGTTCAGCGTGTGAGAATCTTACCAATTCATCAAAAATGATCTAAGTCCATGATTAAAAGACTGCCGTAAAATTACGCGAGACCAAAAACTTCTTATGGGCACCCAAACCTACCGTACTCGCAGGCTCCTTTTTAATATCTTTTAAAGTGATAAAAACGTAGTCTCTATTATCCAGAAAAATATTCTCCGAATATTAGTCTGGATGCGGTGTCAACATTTGAGAATAATAGGCCATTGACTAGATTATCCGGTCTTTTACATTAACATAAACAAAGTCTAAGGGAGGTAACTAGTCCTAAAAAAAAGATGTCGACGCCCATAAAATTAATTTAAGCATCAGAAAATCCATTTTAATTAATACTAATTCGTCGCTACGATTCATTTTTGTTTATAATAATTCAAGAATTACGGGATTTATTGCGGGAAGGGGTGCAACTCTTATTTGACTTGACCAAAGATACTGGATAATCAACCACATAAAAAAACAAACTCCCGGTTACGCATGGGCAATGGAACTTTTCGTCAAATATTGACAACGTTCTCAGACACTCAGTACGTTGAAGACTATGGGGTTCTGGGTGACCGAGACTAATAAAAACGCTACATTCGGAGACTGTGTAATCTGTGAATAATTTGTTATGTTTAAATACAAAATAGAAGTATAAATACCTGGAGCACATACACAATAACCTGATGTTATATCACATACACCTTTTCCAGTACAATCACATAATTCTTTGCAATTCTCACCCCACGTACCCTTCTTACAGTCTGTAATATAATAATGATAATGTACATTTCTAACAATCTATAATAAAACGATATATTATATCAATTATCATTCCATTTACCGTTTTTACAATATAAAGCAATTCAGAAACCAACGAAAGTAAACATCCCAAATTAATAGTGGTATCCTGTTTTATATAAGAGACAATCCGATAATTTCATTATTATGAACGCCATAAATAATAAAAACAAGACAGTGGCGTGGTATCTGATGTTCTTGAAAGAGTAGACCTACACGATATCGTACACGACATTTGTTATAGCCAAATGAAACAATAGTTTGTCATTGATTACATATCAAATTTTTCACCAGTTTCGCTTATGTACATCTTATATCTGCACGGGCCTGTTTTGAAGCGTTGTACTCCATCTTATGTTTTCATGATCATACTTGCTTTAACACCTTTGAAACCCAAGACTACAAGGCACCACATATCATGGCCATATACCAATGCCTTATATTTATGGTGTTATTTACAGAAACTGTATCTTTGCTAAATGTGTATGTAGAATTTTCAGGACCAGTTGTAAAAGAAAGAAAAAACACATTCATACAGGTATAATAAATATAAGAGGTACGGACGAACTGTGAACCAGGTACCAAGCCTGACCTCATCGTAGACATCTTGGAATTATCATGCCCAAATGTCCAAGGAACAAGCATGCCAAGTTTCATGTCGGTTCTTGAGTAGCGCTTTGGTCCCAGTTCCGAGTTCAAAAAATTTGGTCGAAATATTTTATTCTTTTTAGAAAAACTATTTGAGTGATATATTTTAGTTAATGCTTTAATCTGTAAAAAGTCATATACAATAACTTACTGGATGTACAAGCAGGGCCTCGCCATCCGGCCTGACAGTGACATATATTGGGTGAGACGCATGAACCATGACTGCAGGCTGGATCACAAACAGCTATTTTTTTAAATAAAAAGAAATACATGTATTGCGATTTTAAAGTGCATTAAATTAGTCAAAGAATCATTGATGGATTCTAACCCCCTATTATGTATCCATACTAATAATACTTTTATGAATACAAGATGTGACTGAAAGGCTATTTGACAAGCTCTATACGAAGGCGGTCGTCTATTTGTTCATTTGTCATCAGCTTCAAGGGAAATCAGCAAACGTAATACCGGATCCTATCAAGCTCTTAGCACAGACATATGACAGGTATACAGATTTAAAGAGATAAATGTTTTTAAACAAAAGGTTAACAGTTAACAATTGCTCTTTAAAATTGTTTTGAAAATAAATTTCAACTTACGAATACATTTGTTTGAAACATTTGCATAACCTGAACAGCATTCTGCTACTTTATCAAACTGTTGTACAAATATTTGTCTATACGATTTTCTATATGTTGTACTGAAATATGAATAGAATGTGATATAGATATATATACACAATTTGGTCAGTCATTTTATTTTATATTTCTTTATAATTTTGATTTTTACCTTAATTACAAGCACATTAATCTTTCACAAAGGATTCATATCTGATTTGAATATTTGGATTGGGATTATTGTAAAAAGGGTGTGATCTTGCTGAATTTAATCGGGAAAAATACCAAGAAAGAAAACGTTTATACGGAAATTAATTAGGCCGACCTAAGCATATTTTCGGATGAGAGTCAAAGCATCACTAAAGAAAGTTCTTCCTTGGAAATAATTTTGAGGACCTATTGAAAATACCAAAGACAGTGGTGTTTCAACTGTGGGAAATGGGTTGCCCGGACCGTGCTCCTGCCCTTTTCTGAAAACATCTTCCCGCAATTCGTTTGTGATACAACTCGATAACGTTAAAAGATACATTTTTTAATACAGATAAATTATTAAAAACTTATCGGTGGTTAAAAGCTAAAGTAACCAACTTGAGCGTTTGGTGTATGAAATAACGAAAAGAAACACTCAATTGTGTATTGAATTAGCCTTTACCATGAATAATTTAGGGATTGGGACCATTTATAGTTTGAAATAAAGAGAGATGTTCATCCTCATTTTTTTTCCACTCGTAAGTAATACCTTATTTTCCTAGACCCTCACCTATACTTCAAGGTTATAAAACAAAGCACATACTTTCGACAAAATGTCCAAAAAGATGGTTTGGAAAGACAGATTGACACTATGACCCAGCTACACAACAGTGGCATAATAATTCTTTAGAATATTTTCTGTAGTCAATCTCCGTGAATGAATTATGAATCGAGAGTGTGAGCTGGGTGGACTTACAGAAACCTAGGAAGATGTAGAAATTGGTTGAACTTTCGTTAGAAATTAAAAGAAATATAAAAAATGTGTTATACTTACTAACATCTTTCACATCTTATACTTTGCCAACACCAGTAATGTGTACATTGTTTATCTGGTATCTCGACAGTAATCTGTTTACTTACTGTTTTACTAAAATATATAACGTTAATATGGAATTTTTAATGTAATAGATTTACCTTGAAGTTTCGAACTCAACACATATAATCAGTGCCGGACTGGGCCCACCTGTCCACCTGTGGGCCTAAGCCTATAAAGAAAAAAGAAAAAAAGAAAAAAGAGAAAGAAAAAAGAAAAGAGAAAGAAAGGAGAGGGTAGGAAAGAAAAGACAGAAGGAAGGACAGGACAGGAGAAAGAAAAGATAGGAAAAAAATGACTGACAAACAACACAAAAAAAGAAGTGTACTACCGAGAACCGTGTAATTCATCTTTTAACCTCTACTTAGTTCTTCATAAGTCATTATCGCCGAAATAATCGCCAAAAATTTGCCAGTTTTGAGTTTTTCGCGAAAACTTATATTCTGTGCGTCAACAGAACTGTCAAATACGTGTACTGTATGTATATTATAATTTGCATTATTTTCATCTGAAACCCTTGGAAAATGCGTTTGCGGTTGTCAATTTTCAAAATTTTACGGGGGAGCGGTGGGGTGGGTGGGAGAATCCCCCCAGACCCCCCCTCAGACGCTAGCGCGCCTTTGGCACGCTCAAGACCGGCCTTCGGCGCGTACTTGTATGGGCCTTGGTCAATGACCTGACAGGTGGGCCTTGGGCACACCAGTCCGGCACTGCATATAATTTGCCCCGATACTTGAATCTTACATGCAATTATTGAGCAGTGGCAAATGGTGGTAAATGTAACACATAACGTGTGTACCTATTGTTGTAAGTGTCGTTTTACCATAATCGGACTTGGCACTTGTGCTCTATTCCGAGACAGGATGCCTACCTTTTTACACATAGTACCACTTTCCAATATGGGGTGATTTTGGTGTGTATAATCAGATCGATTTACGCTCTCACTCAATTTTTCAGAATTTGTCCATTGAATTTTGACTCCTGGCAATACTAATAATCTTTGTCTCTTACCTTATAAATGTATAACATACATGAGCATCATCCACACTGTATGTTCCATATGTACATGCAGGTAGGATTATAAATAAGGTTACTGTATATAGCCACATAATTCTGAAACAAAAATGGCCAACAGTGTATATGATAATAAATGGCACCTCCCCGGCCCTAATGCGCATCTCCGTTGGTCTTCCACACGGAAATATAATAAATTCTCTGTTATTTGTAATAGGGTAAATGATATAGTGAAACGCCATGTAGAGTGCTATGAAGGACATTTTCCCGGCACAGCGTCGTTTCTGCATTCTTTATCCATCCGAACGACTAGACGTTTTTTGCCCTGTCCAACCCCCCGTTCCGCTTCAATGGCAGGGGGAAAATCATTACTAGGTCAACAGAAAGGTTAAACCCAATGCCCCTAGGTTACTGAGCCAGTGCCATAATCTCTGACAAAAGAAATACACAAAAAAAAACACTGAGTATAACTACTCAACCAACACAGTTCAACCGACATTACGTATGAACCGGGTAAAAATTAAATGAGTAAACGAACATAAAACTTAAGTGGGTCGGTTAGAGGTATTATTCATGTCTTACTCTTAGTAAGTGAAGAGATTTTGTTCTATTCTCGGAAAGACGCTGACGTTAAAAAAAAAATATTGCATAAAATTATATAAATATCTTGCGCCATCATATAATCTGTGTGCTCTCTTAGAACATTCCACTATACTCCGGCATTGTTTTAATCCTCGTAAAAATAAAGAAAACATTATGGAATTCACTCTTTTAAGCAACTTAAAACTCGGGAACTTTAAATCAATTGAAATTTTTGTTAATATGCTAAGATTCTACAGTGGAACAATATTGCTATTAGAAAATAACTAAAAATAGACTAATTTTGTTCATAAAAGCAAATCTTATTCTTATGTAAGACCTAAATCTGCCTGTTATTTTGACCTCCATTGTTATATAAATTATTATACAGCATTTATTCACGTGACAAGTTTTTAATCAACTTTCTAGAGCATCCGGTGGGGCAGATGCAAACGGATTGAAATATGGTCGCCAAATAATGATTTAATTTAAAAATGGAGAAGCGAGAACAAGTCTTGGTTAACGTTGCTGTGATAATAAACAATCTATGTCAAAACTTCAAACAGTGATAACATCGCTCAGAATAAAGTAATTTAAATTAAATTTTGAATTATCTATTTTGGAACTATTTAGTCAGAACGATTAGTTCTTTATCTAAATCTTAAATAATGCATCTTCAACACTATGAAATACTATAGACTTATTGTATAATATTATTTTTGGGGAGAATCGGTTTCATTCTACGATTGTACGTTACTCAGTGCTGTATTTTACCACAACAAAAAATAACATCTATACTTCCTGGCGCGCTGAATTCTCAATAAATTTCGTCCTTAAAAATATTTATGAAAATGTGTTTATATCATCTAGTTCTATACTTATAAAATGTATATAGTTTGAATATGTATGTGGTGATAGGGGTTACACATAGGCTTATCATGTTCCCAAATCCGGTCTATATAGATATCTACTGAATAAAATCTTGTTTATAAAAAAATGATTAACGTAACTGTACTGTATCCACTAGTCTATATCAGACATACATTGCAGTGGGTGCGTGGTAGCCTTAAAGATGGGTCCCATACCCATACATTTAATTATCGGGTGGCCCAGAAAAAAACGAGTAGGCCCTACACTGTGGAATAATTTTAAAAAGTCTTGTATCTGTATCATTACCGTTTTACATGTTGTACAATATAGATGTTTGACAACCCTATTCCAAATTGTCGGTCCATAGTTCAAACAGTGTGAACATAGTACGAGTTTTAAAAACGAAAGTTCAAATTATCTTTTGCCGGACACACCACACTCACCTCAGTTTACTTCTTAGTCCGGCCAAAGATAATTTGATATTCTTTTATAAAACTCGTACTATGTTAACACCATTGCAGCAATGGACGAGCAAAATGGGGTGAAGTTGATAAACATCTGCATGGTATGACATGTGATATGTGAATAATATGTAGGTATTCTACTTTAAATAGTGTCCTGGGTTTTTTTTCTGTGCCACCCGACGATTTATTATAACAACCAGTTGTCTAGTAAATAACATATTACCATGCATCACCTAGCATGCTAAACACATAGATATACAAGATATACTGGTAATATCTCTTACTCATGTGCTTGAAAAAGGTTTTGAATAAAAAGTCATGTCTATATGTGTATCATGTTTGAATGTCGCAACAAATGCTAACATTAAAAAATAGATGATGACAGATGACTTTACATAAGAAATATGCGGAGTTGGGCGGATATAAATCGTAAGGTCTATATATTAGGGTGATACGAAAACGGTTAGACCAATTCCCTATAAAGCCGGGTGTCTTAAAGGTAAATGAATTAAGAAGTCGACAATCAGTAAGCCGTCTGCCTGTTCCCCATAGTGACCGTTAGGTTTCATGATAGACTCTGTTGGTAGAGCGATGGACTGCCGTAGGCCATGCAATTTGGGTGGTAGGTCAAGGGTTAGTTCATATTAAGGTGACATGTCATTCTACTAGCCTACTGTCAGCTGTCCTGTTAAAGTTACTGTCAGTGGAGATACCCTATGGCAACACTTGTCGTTATTAACTAAGTAGTTTGTTTTTACATACAAAAAACAAAAAATACAATATACTTTACTGTATTTACTTAATTTACGCATGAGCGTGCCTGTATTCCCTAGACATCTTTGGTAGGTCAGTCATGACAGTTATACACATTTGATTAATGTAAGCTCTAAAAAAATAAATGTATATTTTATTTTCATCCGGCGAAAAGATGCCACCATTATAAAAGAATTCAAATTAGGAATTAACAAAGGTTGTTTTTTTTTCAATGTACAATTTTGCATATAGCCTACGATTCCACCAAAGGCATCCCGATTTCCAGTGGCGAGCATTATCGGTATGACGGTATTGACTGGAAGTTTGAGACAAAAGAAGTGCAATTGCAATGCTTTTGGAGTTGCAAGGTTGCAAGCAAACTCGCAACTAATTCAGTGTTTGGGTTGGCTATGGTACATCTACTCTACCCTTTTATGAAAGTACCTGTAAGTCACAGAAATAGCAGACTAATATAAAATTAGCTTAATTAAGCCTTCTAAATGCACATAGATACATTTTGACATATTATTTGATTTTGTTAAAAAGAGCTATAGAACGGGCATATTTTTTATTCAGAAGAAAAATGTACAATTTGTTAGACCCAAGTCATAATGCGACACGTTTTTGCAATCTGTGTTCTGGGTTGCCTCTGCTGCAGCAGTTGCCAGTAATAAGGTGTTAGTATATTTCTCGACACATTAATGAAGAGTTAATGTTTCCTCTAGCACATTAAATAAAAACTTGATTTTGACAGAATAGACATGATTAATCTACGTATACGCATTTTGTTTTTCTGAGATTTGCCATTAAAAAATAGAGTCCATTGTATTCCGTTATTAAACATGCATTATGCAAGAGCTAAATCTGCCTATTTGCAGGTCTTTCTTTAGGCCTGAAATGTTATATAAACTATTAATTAGACATTAATTAACGTATCCAGAACATAATCAACTCTCGATGTCAGCACTATCCTGCGATAATTGTTGGATTATGATGCGATTTGCTGCATAACTTTCCTTCTCGATTTAACGATTAAATAGATAATCGAGGCTATGATTTTTGTCGTACCGACTTTAGTAATGATGACCGAGGCTATGCAGAACTTTCGATCGCTTATTTCTCGGTTCATGGTGGATCAGTTTGACTGAAATTTTCAGCAAATTGCCTTTACATTATCTAGTTTTTAACTATTATAGTGAGAACTGAAAACTCGTTATCTAATCTCCCTTAATGTATCTTTAACTAATTGATGGTGGTCGGAAATAATTGGTGACGCCGTGTTTGATAGAAACGAATATGACCCCTATTTATTTTCTTTTAGGTCAAATTTCAAACCAATATCAAATGGCGCACCACATGAAGACTTGAATACAGTACTATAGAACAGGTATTTATTTTGTAATGCACATATATTTACAAATACCACACGACAGTAGAAAACTGTACATTGGGGATTCTTTTCCAATGACTAGTATTTAGAATAGAATTTAGCACCCCCACCCCCCTGTTCGTACGCGCATATTTAACAATGGAGTGGGCTTTATCGTCTCATGGTTAACATAATAGTTATTTTCACGTCCATGGTTATGTGTACAGTGCTATGAAATAATTATATCCTGGTGAGGGTGTTTTGTCGAGCCCTGTGAACGATCTATAAATGATTAATCTTGTAAATGCTCTAATGACAAGAGTTATCATCCGATCTGTATGAAATTAATATATGAATTAGTAAAACGAAGAGTCTATTGAATTTCAGCAATTTCCATCAATTGCTTCTAGAATTATTGGCCTTATTTCACTTTGTTGAACCCTGTGAATGCTCTAACGACAAAACTTATCAGCCAATCTGTATGAAATTTATATGCATCATTTGAGTTAGTGAAATGAAGAAGTCTATTGAATTTCAACAATGTTGTTGTAGTTTGTAGCCCCTTGTAAAAGCCTCAAAGGACGAAATTATAATCTGATCTGTATGCAATTGTCTTCTAAATTCTCACAATTACCTACAAAAGATTAAATATGCGACAACACTTATTTACCCCTCGGACAATTTAGCTGCTGTGGGTGTATGTGTCGTTGCCTGGCAACCTATCTTTATCATTATCGTAATATTCATAATTTGGGTCTCATACCAGATTAACAAACCGACGTGTTAGAAATCACTGGCTGTGTCATAAAACAATTCAAATCAAATCGAGTGTAGGCCTACACATTTAAAATCATCAAGACAATCATACCATAATAGACATATTTTGTTCAGTTTCCCAAATAGGCTCTTAATACATAAAATTTGTAAAATATGAAACATAAAGTCATTATTTTCCATCATTTTTATGTAAAATGGCAGTATAATTGGATGTGTATGGTGGCCTATCGTTCTCATTCAGGAAGTTAACAAAATTAACCCTAGACCTAACCCACAGTCGGGTGAGG